TTTTTCATCAAAAATTCCTGCTTAGAAAAAAAAAAAGAAAAAAGAAAGGGTCAGGTTTGTTTGTTTTTTTTTTATTTTTCGACGAGCTTTAAAAAGTACGGTGCCGTTTTTGGGGCTTGCTTTCATTAGTTGTTACACTATTATTATTATTATTATTATTATTATTATTATTAATATTAATATTATTATTATTAATATTATTATTATTAATGTCATGAATTATTATTGTTATTATCAATGTCATTATTAGTTATTATTATTATTAATATCTTTATTAGTTATTATTATAATTATTTTAATATTAATTTATAATTCAAGTATACTAGTAGTGTGTATAATGAATTTAAGGACTTGATATATATATATATATATCTACCATATATATATATATAGAAGACTCTCTTGTAAATAGTTAAAATGATGAAGAAGAAAAAAATAAACCTCTACGGTAAGAATAAAATAATAAAAAAAAAAACACACACACACACACACACACATACATACGCGTAAATACACACGTACATCGTCAAAAGCATTAAGGATTTGCGAATATACACGTTAAACACACACGTACAATTTGTCAATGAATTATTTGAATCGCCAACAACATTCGTAATAATGATTAATTAAATAATCTATGAAACGTCACTCGAATCCAAAAAACAAAAACAAAAAACCCTTTAAAACCACCCCACCTTCCTAACCCTCTCTCCCTCCCTCCCTCTACCTCCACCTCTACCCATCCATCCATCCATCTACTGCATTTAATTCCGATTCGAAGTCTCGTATCTCGCGAATAAGAATTATTAAATAAATAAAATAAAATAAAATAAGAATAAGGAAAAATAATAAGTTAGTTGAATAAGAATAAAAAAAGGATGAAGAAGAAGAAGAAGAAGAAGAAGAAGAAAATGATGAAGAAGAAGAGGAAGAAGAAGAAGTAGATGATAAAAAGAAAAAAAAAAAAAAGGAACATTGTAGAGAACGGGGAAAGAACAGAGGATAGGTGGGGACTGATAATAATAAGAAAAAGCACCCCTTCCTCACCCCCAGCCCATCCCCCAAGATAATTTTTTTAATTCGTCTATTAGACGTA